GGTGAAGCATATAATTTTTGTTTATTGGCCCGCTGCCCGATTTGATTCATGGTGTCTGATTCAGAGCTTATGGAAGAGCACATGAATAAAATGAAGGCTCGGTGAAGATGCCAGTTGAGAAGTCTGGTGATGTGTCTGTGCAGCTTTGTTTCCTGGAGTGGGAGCCGTGTGTGTCAGGGAGGTCTTCTTCAGCATAGCCAGCTACATGGAGGCAGAGTCAGAAGTCCTGGGATTAGCAGGGAAGGCCGCGAGCTATTTATTATTGTTAGAAAATTGTTCCCTAAAATCTAGTTTTGCTTTCACGTTAAGGGATATCAATTTTATATTGACTTAATAAAACTTTAGGAATCAGACTTCACTTTTTTTCAAAAGTACTTGGTATTGAAAGACAGGTTAGCATGCAGTAGATAGTCCCTAAAATCCCATTATTAAATTTGAAAATGTTTGAAGTAGCTTAAGTTGAAAAATTCAGGTGTAAAACAAGAGTAGAGGGGGAAAATGGATATTTTTTTTTTTTGTCAGAATAGTGAGTCTGTTGTTAAGAATCCCCGGGTAAATTCATCAGTCTGTAGTTGAAGAAGTAAGCTTTGCTGGTCACGGGAAGCAGCTCTGAGCGAAGTGACAGTGACGGTCCAGAGGCCTTGGTCGTGGGGATGGGCGGCCTGCTGCTCATTTTCCTTGTTAGAGCTGGTCTGAGTTTGTCTCTGCCCTTTGCGCCTTCCTTACCTGCTGTGCGGTGTGGCTCAGGGTGCGTGAGCGTTCCTCCCCATCTCAAATGTTATGTAGGTGTCTGTTCTCTTGTATGCCACTCATTTCATAAAAGAGCCGCTTAGGTAAAAATTAATGTTTTACCAGTCACTGGTCACTTTGACTTGAGATGCTCAAGGTTAATGTCATCCAAGCTCCTGATTTCAAGCCTTTTATCTGTGATCATGGAAGGAGTAACTTCTCTTTCTAAAACTGACTAAAGGATTTTCAGCTCTAGCCAGCACAGACTCTTCTTCTAGTGTTAATATGCTAACGTCATTTCTGCTTTGTTACCTGGTGTTAAAAACAATCCAGTTCAGTCGCCATGCCCTCTACCTTCTCCTGTCTCAGGACGGTGGGGACTGGAAGTGTCCCTTCCTTGGAAGAGCGTGCTGATTCATGCTCGGGAAATCCCGCGTCACTGCGGCCTTTCGGGCTTCTCCCTTTTCTCTTGTTTCGTTGGGACTGAAGGTTGTTGCCGCCTGTTTGAAGGCTGCATTTAACGTTGACTTTTCTGTCCCTTTCTGCATATTCCTCTTGCTTTACATGAAAATTCCCACATAGACATTTCATTCTGACTGAAACAAGCCTTGGTGGTTTTTGTTTAGTATTGTTTAGCCCTTCCAAGCCATTCCCGCTTTGTGCTAGGTTGACTAATGAAGTCAGCAAGAGTGAAGTTGAGGGTGCAGTATTGATAGTTATTCTCCCTCCACGTTCACTTTGTACAGAACAAGTTTCTGGGAAGAGTGATAGCTTCTGCTGGTTTTGCATAGTGTGATAATTTAAATATTGGTTCTGCAGAGTGGATTCTTGAAGACATTGACGGTGGAAGCTTGCTCTGTTCTGGTGCTTTGTCCACCCATAGTTTTACAAAATCTTCCTCAAGAGTTCAATGGATTCAGACTTTCTTGCTTTGGTTACGCATTCTTCATTAACTTCTGAAATCAAGTGCTGGTTCGCTTCCACACTTCATTCTGTAGCTCAGTATTCTCTGTCTTGAATTGAAAGAGACTTAGCTCAGGGGTCTTAGTTCAGTCCCTTTATTTTAGGTCATATCTCTATTTTGAGTTTCTCCTGTAAGAAGGGCAGCATGTAGAAATACATGTTATAGTAAGAGCCTGCATGCTTACGATAGGATTCTGGTAGAAAAGCTGAGCACAGGAAAGCTTTTCTTTGACTTTAGTGTGAGATAAAGGACAATTGCGTGGCAACTTTGAGTGATGGGAAACCGGAAACCTCATTTCATTCTGGACTTCGTGAAAACTAGAAATAAAACTGATTAACTTTCAAGTTTCCCTTCCTCTTCCTCGCTTCACTGTTCTTTTAGAGTTAACATCTTTTAGTTGCTGTTTCTTTCCAGTTTCTCATTAAGGAATACTTTCCTCCTCATGTTACAGATTTTACAACTGAAACTTGCAAAGAAAATCAAGTTTGAAGAACATAAGAGGTGAATGTATAATGATTTGAAAAAAATCTGTTTTTAACATCTGTACAGGATTAATTTACTACACTGTTGATAATGAACTGAGTATGTAGGGGATACCTAAAGATTTGAATGACTGTATTGGCTCATTTTCTATAGATAGTTGGATAATATAACTGATGTAAAGTGATTTAGCTATGAGTATGTTTAAAGATACATATGTAGAGCAAAAGGCTTGTTTACTGAATTATTCTCGGCTACAAATAGTAAGGTCCACATTTTTTTAAAAAGATTTATTTATTCTTATTGGAAAGGCAGACGTACAGAGAGAAGGAGAAACAAAGATCTGCCTTCCACTGGTTCACTCCCCAAGTGGCTGCAATTGCCAGAGCTGAGTCAATCTGAAGCCAGGAGCCAGGAGCTGCTTCCGGGTCTCCCATATGGGTTTGGGTCTCAAGGCTTTGGGCCATCTTCTACTGCTTTCCCAGGCCACAAGCAGAGAGCTGGACGGGAGGTGGAACAGCTGGGACATGAACTAGAGCCCATATGGGATGCTGGAAGTTGCAAGGCCAGGATGTAGCCACTAGGCTACCATGCCGGGCCCTATGCTCCACATTTCTTATATTCACATACTTAAGAGCCATTTTTCTTTTTGCTGTATGGGAAGAATTTTACTGTGGCTCATTTAAAAACTGACTCAGTAAATAGTTGATTATATTATTTCAGCCATAACAATGTTAAAAATATTTGCTTGTATCTTAGAGTTCTGAAACTTTGAGGTAGTATTTGCTATCCCAACATTTTTGGCATTTGGGGTCTAGCGTTGCTTTTTACCGCAGTGTGATCATGTTGATCTGGTGCTCGGTTTTCGATGCTCTGTCTGCAGTGTATCTTCAGTAACTGTGAGTGTAAAGTGAATTGTTTTCCATTCGTTTGAAGCCAGTGAGTGACTGGGGTCTGACTCATGATGATTACCCTGTGCGGGGTTACTGAAACTGCTGTTTTGCTGCAGCAGTAGGAAGCCAACCTACAGCCATAGCAACGTTACTGACTTTGGCCATGTGTCAAAACAGTTTGGGCCACAAGTAATTTGGGTTTACGTTTTTCTGGAAGAATTGGCTCATTTGCTGTTTGAGCAGCCCATCTTAAATTTTCAGCACCACTTTTTTGTCTCTGAAGCAAAGGTGCAGCCTAAGAAGGTATGTTTCAGCTTCATGGATCTTGGGAAGTAGTGACCCTGGGATAACATACAACTACAGGTGGTTTCACCACACCCCCACATTTGTAAGTGAGATGCAAATGTAATGATAGTGATGTTGAAGTGTTTTTGCCTTGTCATTCTGCAGCAGTTTTCCCATTTAAGACCTATGCCTAACCAGTGCATAACTTGAATGATAGCACCTTTCACCTAGTGCCTAAGGTGGAGACTTGGAAGTCATTCTGGAATCCTCCCTTTGTTTCTTATTGATCGCTTTGCTTATTAGATTTGGAATCTGCCTGTTTTAGCTTGCCACCTGTGCTAAGTATCACGTCCTCCTGTGTACACACTCTGTTGGCCTTGTAAGTTGGCATTTTGAGGACATTTACTATTTGTTGTCATTTCTCACCTAGGGGACAGTCAGCCCCACTTGTCACATTTAGTCAGTCCCAGTGCTTTATTCATCTCCCAAATCCAGCTTTTTAATTTGTTGCGTTTCTCAAAATGCAACCTAGATCATGGAGTTTCACTGGCTTTCCCTGCATGGATTTGCACTGTGTTCAGGGTGAAGTACAAACTCATTGATGTCGCTTGTCCTTCAGTCTGAAAATCACTCTCTAACTTATTAAAGCAAATGAATAAAATGGTGATATCACAGTGCATTATGTGTGGGAAGGATAAATACTAGACATTTTCAGCTACTCACATTTTGTGTGTACTGGTAGCACTAAAATACTCTTTAAGGTTGACTGTGGTCAAGAGTTTGGCGTATCTGAATCTCACACATGCAGTGGCTTTCCTGGTCATTTGCAGTGTACTTTAATTGTTTTCCCACCGCCTTGTACACCCTCATCGATTCTGTCCTCTTGGTCAGAAAAGCCTCCACTGTTTTTTTAGCTAACTCTCAGATTGTCCTGTTTTCAGAAGCATTTTCTTGATAGTAAATTACTGTAAGAAACACATTTTGTTATGCTACTCAGTATACACATAAGTATTTGAATATCTGACATGAGTTCCTTGGGTCCAAATCCACCTTTAAGAGATACTTTCCAGCCCTGTGCTCTGTGTCTTAGCTTGAGGATAGGGTCTATCTGGATTTATTTCTTGGGCCAGAATGTAGCATGTAGTTGCCCATTGTTAATGGACTTAATAAAATAGTGAATCGATATATGCTACATGTAATTCTGGAACCTGCTTTTATGATTAATTCTGAATTGTTTCATTATAGTAGTATTTTTTTTTCTTGAGATACATCACATTTTTGCTTTAAACTCTGCTCTGTTTATTAGCTGTGATGGGCCTCCTCCAGCTCTCATTCTGCCACACTCATGATCTTTCTTATGTATTGTTACTTTTAGCAAGCAAGTTTAAAGAAGTGCAGATGCTGGCCACATAGTGCTTGTATGGGAATTTAGTGATTTCTACCAACCACATACACAAGACAAGGGGAAGAGGGATGAGATGGGGAGAGGGGGAGAGATAGAATTTGCATAATGGTAATCAGATGCAAAATACGGAAGGACTGGTAGGGTATGAAAGCCCAAAATGAGGTGAAGTTGAGTCATCTTTGCTTTTTGAATTTAAAACATTTGTGACTGTGTTTCACAGTTATGGTATTTAGCTGCTTATAATGTTTGTATTGTTAAGAGATCATTGTTTGGTAAACCATTAATAGGTTCTCATGAAGACCTATTGCTGAAGAGAGATTTGGGTGGATCTAATTTTTAAAAGAATGAATGAAGACAAAACTTGTAAATGCAAGCACTGGAAGAATTACAGCACATCTTCGTGAGTTTGCAAGTGGTAAGTTTGCATTTGCTTTTGTGTGGGGATAGGTTTCTTAATTATGTGACATGGAGTTTCACGTTTAGACGTGCTTAATTTTTCATTAGTGAATGTAGTTATTTCATGTTCATGTAAAATTTTCCATATTAGGACCTCATGTGGTAGCTTAATGGCTAAAGCCCTTGCCTTACATGCACTGGGATCTCATATGGTCATGAGTGGCTGCTCCACTTCCCAGCCAGCTCCGTGCTTGTGGCCTGGGAGGGCAGTGGAGGATGGCCCAAGGCCTTGGGACCCTGCACCAGTGTGGGAGCCTCAGAAGAATCTCCTGGCTCCTGGCTGTGGATCAGCTCAGCCCCAGCCATTGTGGCCAGTTGGGAAGTCAACCAGCGTAAGGAAGATCTTTCTGTCTCATTCTTTCTGTATATCTGCCTTTCCAATTAAAAAAATAAATCTTAAAAATTTTTTTCTGTACTAAATTTTAAGGAAAAATTTCCTAAGCTGATTTTCAAGAGCATCTTTCTAACTTGTAAATCTTATGGGCTGTACACAATGATGCTTTCACACTACATTTGTTTTTAAACTTGTAGTTCTAAAATGCAAGTTATGTAAGACAAATTGATGGTGATAAGAGAGAGTGAAGCTTTTTGTTTGAAAGGTGGTTAGTGTCCCTTAGGCCATCCCTGTTTTATAGATGATTTAAAGGAATTTAGAGGGACAAAATGCTGACGTAAAATACAAGTCTTCCTGCTCGCTACTCTTTCCGTTCTCAGGCCGGTGGTAACTAGTTAGCTTCTCTCTTACTGCTATATGAACATTTAGACTGTGACACATTTTCATGATTACAAAGAAAGTGCTGTTTTCTCTATGTCCTTGTCTGTGTATAATGCTTGTAGACTCTTGAATCCTTCTGTAGGTATTCCTAAAAATAAAACTGCTTGGTGAAGGGTTTTCCACGTTGGCAGAGTGCTCTTCCAGCAGGCTGGTGTCAGTTCACACACACCAGGGACGTGAGCATGTCCTTTCTCCTGTGCCCTCTCCGTGTTGGCTGTCAGCTATCCCTCTCTAAGCTTTTAAATGCACTGCAGTGTGCCCTGCATTGTGGCACAAAGAGTAAAGTTGCTGTCTGCAGTGCTGCATCTAATATGGGTACCAATTTGTGTCCTGGCTGCTCCACTTCTCTCCCAGCTGCCTACTAATGGCATGGAATCATTCTCTCTTGGTAACTCTTAACTTTCAAGTAAATAAATTAAAAACCAAATAGAGTGGAGAAAATTCATATTGCTAGTTTACATTTTTATGCTCAGCAATGATTAGTAATTAGATTTTTTTCATATTTCTGAATGGTTTTTACATTTAGTTTGTATGTATCTTGTCAGTCATATGCTGTGAAGCTTTTTGCCAGGGGTGCTTTTGTCTGTTTAGATTTTCTGATTAGTAAAAAGACAAGAGATTTCATGTATTTCATAGGTGCCTAAAATAGCTGTACCTCCCTCTTTCCTTCACTCTCTCCCTCAATCCTCTTTCTTCTTCACTTTATTTCCTTCAGCTTTTACGGAAGTGTTCACTCCATAATCACAGGCATAAGTAAGCATCACTAGCTATTATATTCAACAAGTAGAAAGTAGAAATACCACAGTTGTTCAGGAGAATAAACAAGAGCCAGAAGCAACAGTGAAATCACAAGATGTCTCTTTCGTCCTTATACATTTTTTGTCTTGTATGTTAATTACTACATATTGGAAAAAGTATGATTATTTATTGTCTTGGGACTGGCTTGTTTTACTAAGCGTATTATTTTTCAGTTGCATCCATTTTGTTGTCGAAAACAGGTTTTATTCTTTTATGGCTGAGTAGTCTTCTTTAGTGGATATAAGCCACATTTTCCTTATCTGGTCATCATTTGATGGACACCTAAAGTGCTTCCTTTTCTGTTATTGTGAATTGTTGCAGTAAACATGGATGTACAAAAAACTTTTTCAGTTGCTAATTTCACTTCCTTTGAGTGAATTTCCAGGAGTGAGGTGTACTAGTTAACATTCCCACCAACATTAGAGTATCCTTTTCCCTGTATCCTTTGTAGCATTCGTAAATTTTTGATACTCGGATGATGGCGATTTTAACTGGGATGAGGTGAAGCCTCACTGTTTTAATTGGCATTTCCTTTGTGGCTAGTGATCCTGACCAGCTTTTAGTGTGTCTGTTGGCTCTGTGTGTTTCACCCTTTGAAAATTGCCTGAACATGTCTTTTGTCCATGTCTTAACTGGATCTCAGTTGTTTGGTTGTTGAGTTTTGTGAGCTAGTTCTATATCTGGGATATTAATTATTTATCATTTGCCAATTCTGCAAGTTTTTTTGTCCCATTCTTTCCGATGCCTCTTTACCTTGTTGAGTTGTTTTCTTTGCAGTGCAGAAGCTTCTTAGATTCATCTAACTTTGTTTTTTTTATGTGTTTGGGGCTTCATTTATTTTAATTTTTATGTGGATGGGCATGGCTTTTATGGGTTTTGGTTGAAGGCCTGCGTCATCCCAACTGTATAAAAGTACTTGCTATTTTCTTCTAGTAGTTTTGTCACCTATTAAAAATTGGATGAGAAAAGGAAATCACTGTGAATTGACTTATTCCAGGAAAAATTACACTTAGGGCATGAGATTATAGTTGACCTTAAAGTATGAGTTGAATTTAAGTAAGCCAAGTGTTAGGGACATTTCAGACACAAGAAATTACACTCTTTCATATGGAATAGTTATAAGGCCACCTCAGTTGACATGGAGAATCATAAAGTTGTAAAGTTCAGAGAGGCACGTTTGCCTTGGTTTCTTATGATTTCCTAAAGTCTGTTCTGATGTAGTAGTTTTCTGTTGCATAGTACATTTTTTCTTCTTTTTCCCTATTCCTGAGTAAAATACATGGAAAAATGCAATTGATTGAAATAGTATAAAAGGAAAGGGAGCATTCTTTTGGAAGGAGAGGAGAGAAAGATCTTCTGCCAGTTCATTCCCTAAAAGCCTACAATGGCTGAAGCTGAGCCTGATCTGAAGACTGGAGCCAGGAGCTTCTTCTGGGTTTCCTACACGAGTGCAGGGTCCCAAGGCTTTGGGTTATCCTCTCCTGCTTTCCCAGGCCACAAGCAGAGAGCTGGATGGGAAATGGAGCAGCTGGGACACAAACTGGCACCCATATGCGATGCCATGCTTGAAGATGGAGAATTATCCTGTGCAGCCATTGCAGAGGCCCCCTGGAATATTTTGAACATTACAAGTATTTATGATTTAATTATTGTTTTAAAATGATTTGTGCTATAGTAATTTGCAGCATTATGAAGTTAGTCAGTACATTCAAGTAGAGTTACCAGATAGCAATCTTAAAAAAATGTTGGAGTACTGGTATGTCCACTATACATCAAAGTTTGAGTTATGGGCTCACCATTTAATATGCAAATTAGTATGTTGAAACTTCCAGCCAATGAAAGTGTTTTACAGATGCTGTCCTTAAGACGAAGCAGCAGCACTGTGTTCAGTTTGGTTGTGGTTTGGGCTGTGTAATAGTTTCTGTTCAGCCATCAGCCATGGCTGGTAGACGTTAGCTGAGTGAAGTGATCCTGTGGCTCTGCAGTTACACATTTGTGGTTGAAATCTGATTTGTAGCTCTTGGAAGATCGCTCTTTTCTCCTCTGCCATCCTATTATAAGAACGATGTGGCACTAGTTTGTACAAATCAGGTATTTTTTTTAAAGAAAAATTTAATGTCTTATTTATTCATTGTTTTATCTGTTTATTCTAAGTGTTTCCTTGGGGAGGCTTGGTTTTTATGATGTGTAATTTATGTTTATGTTAGGGACAAATGGATATATTTTAATTCTGTTCTAGATGTAATATTTTCTCTTGTGAGATTTTATTTCTGTGATTAAAAAATGCACATTCTCTGGTAAAGGAAAATAAAGAGTTCGAAGAACAGGTAAGTGTTTGATCATTTTGCCTCTTGGTCTACTGAGTTGTGTGCTTTTCTGTTTTAAATTTTATCTAGAAATAAGTTAAAAAATTGCCCCATTTTTATATTGATTTTGATCCATGTTCTGTTTCTTGGTCTCAGATAAAACTGAAACACTAACAGGGAAATGAAGGTAATAAAATGAAACATGTTGGGAGATAGCCTTCTGTCATTTCTTTCAACACTTGATTGGCTTGTCAGGTTATGAAAGTTAAAACTCGTGTGTTTATCTTTTGTATTGTAGTAAGGCAGATGGCTTACCATTTGTAATTTAACTCTTTTAGTTAAAAGAATAATGATATGTATAAAATTAAACAGCATATTATTTCCCCTGACTTTTCTCACTGTAATGATACTAATTGGTCTTTTCAATTTCTGATTAAAAATGGTGACATTCAACTTTTACTTTCTTAAAACGCTTGAGTACTAACCTGCTTTATTTTTAATATTGTTTATTTGAAAGTTAGAGAGAGAGGCAGACAAAGAGACAAAAACAAGATATTCTGCCCATGGATTCATTTCCACACATGCTGCCACAGCCAGGCGTGGGTAAGGCGGAAGCCAGGCCAGAATTTATACTCCACAATTCCTGTTCAGGTAACAGGGATCTAACAATTTGATCCAGCTTCTTCTGCCCCAAAGGAGTGCTTTAGCAGGAAGCTGGAATTGCAAGTGGAGCCAGCACTTAAATCCACAGCAGCTGGTAGGGAACTTGAGCATCCAGGTGCTGTCCTAATCACTGTGCCAAATGCTCATCACCCCCATGTGAGAAACCTTACACAGGTACGGGTTTGGACCATCCCTGACTTAGCTGTCAGATGGCATTGTATTTGAGATCTTCTCTGTGCTTCAGTATTCAGAGAGTCTGGGGGTGAGACAACCGGTATATTATTTTAAAATTAATATTATTTATTATTGGTAGCTTCATGGCTTTGAAGAACATAAATGTGGCTGTTAAGCGATTGTGTCTTGTTACTCTTTAGTTTATGATAAATTGATATTAGAATGAAGAATATGGGATGTAAAATGAAAATTGGGAACTCTTCTCTAAATCCTAGCATCTAATCCATCAGTAATACTCAATTAAGTCTATAGTCTCTTCTCCATGAGCAGTTTTGGATTTTGTCTTCTGTTGTCCTGGCTGATCTCTCTCTAGTTTTCTCTCCTATGCCACAGCTTCAATAGTTTATATAGAGTATAGATCTTATCATGTTGACCTCTGCTTCATTCCCTTTCTGAAACTGAAAGAATGAAGCCTTAGTGCTCTAATGCAGCATCTTTAGTCCTTCGTGATGGAGCCCTATGTTTCTCACCACCTACTCTGCAGAGCAAGCTTTTTGGTTTGGGCTAGTAGTTTATATTACCCCCCAGAAATTTGTGATATGCCTTGCTCTTCCTTCTGTTTGCAGTATTGTCAGTTTTCCTTTTTTTTTTTTTTTTTTTTTGGCTTACTTTCACTCTTCTTGTTTTTAAAGATTTATTTATTTATTTGAAAAAGTTGGGGTGGCGGGGAAGAGAGATATCTTTCCTCCCTTGGGTTACTCCCCAGATAGCCACACAGCTGGGTCTGGGCCAGGCAGAAACGGGGGGCCAGGAGCTTCAGCTGGTTCTCTCATGTGAGAGGCAGGGGAATTGTCACTTGGGGGCCATCTTTTGCTGCTTTCCCTAGGCTATTAGCAGGGAGACGGGTTAGAAGTGATCTAGCTGAGGCACAAACTGGCCTCCATATGGGATGCAAGCATTGCAAGTGGCAGCTTTACTTGCTATGCCTCTGTGCCACTTGCTATGCCACTGTGTCACTTGCTTTGAAGACCAAAATCAGGTTTCACCCTTTACAGGAGCTATTACCTAAACTTTGGTATAAATAGTTCCTGTCTTTTTTCCTACTTACAATTTTTCTAGAAATGTAATATTTATCATATGCTGTTAAATCCTCTTAACTGTCAATTTTAAACACAGACTATATCATGATCACAGATCCATTAAGGACTAACTTTGTCTTTAGCACACAATGCAAATTTAAATTCATTTACACTGAAAAAGTTAAATTACTTGAACCTTTGGTAAAGTTTGATTAACTTGGAATTTCTGTTTTCCATACAGTTTATTTTAAATATATATTCAAGGAAAGTTGCGTGCATGTCATTTTATGGTTTCTACAAATGCGGTTTTGTTTTTACTCTGTTTTAGTAATTTTTTTTCTTGTTTCCTTCTTAGGATCATCTTGCCTTGTGGGTTGGCAGGCAGTCATAGGACTGTAAGATGGGTCTCCGGATTCACTTTGTTGTTGACCCACATGGTTGGTGCTGCATGGGTCTGATTGTCTTTGTCTGGTTATACAATATTGTCATAATTCCCAAAATTGTCCTCTTTCCTCACTATGAAGAAGGACATATTCCAGGCATACTAATAATAAGTAAGTAAATTTATAAATCTTTGTTACTGTGTATAATTAAATACTTTTCTCTTTGCAAATGTTTTTGAAAGATAGTGCTACTTTGATAATCTTACTTTTAGTATATTTACTGTTTTAGTGGTGCTAATATTTACTATATTATAGACATTTAAGAAATGTGGTCTTTAAATATTTGCAAGGCTAGGTAAAAGTATTATTTCCGTATTTATTTGGAAAAAATGTAAAGATCATTTTGCTTAAAATAGAACCTAACAGTGACAATTTGCATGTATTCTAAATCTTCCTGTTTTGCACTTAGTTGCACACATGAAAGCCTTAGGAGTGATGAAGGTTACCCGAGGAGAATATGCTATGTGTGAAGTGTGAACCATGATACTAAAATTATTGAGTCCTAACTTGATTATGATAGCATCTTGAACTGCTGAGTAATCATTTTTAAATTAAAGTCCATTGACAATGGCTTCTGATGATTTAAAGTTCAAAATGATAAGTTTTACGTAACATTTAAGGTTTTCATGTGCATTGCCTTATTGTGACCTCTCCAGACCTGTGGGAAATACAGTCTTTTAGGCAGATGCTGAAACTGTTCGGTCCTGAAGTGAGCACTCACGTGCTTTCCTTTAGGTGTGCAGGACAGTGTTTTCGTTCGATGAACAAAATGCCTGTGTCTTATTGTGGTGAATCAGCCTCTCCTTCTCTTAGTTGTTGTGGTTAATTTGAAAACTCAAAAGTTTCTAATTCTTAATTCTGAAATTAAGTATCTTAAGTAAAAGGATTGAACATCATTAACTCAGTGTAACTTAGAAGATATAATAAATGAAGATGTTTACTTCAGAAATGTATTTATTTGAAAGGCAAAGTAACAGAGACACACAGTGAGTGAGTGAGTAAGCAAGAGATTTTCTGTTAATTGATTCTTCAGGTGCCCAGCGCAGTGAGGCTAGGCTGGAGCGAAACTGAGACCCAGGAACTCTGTTGTAGTCTCCTGTGGGGGAAGGAGGAAGTTGAGTAGTTTGACCATCATTCCTTGCCTGTCCATGTGCAGTAGCAGGAAGGTAGCCTGGAAGCAGAACACCTGGGACGTGAACTGGTACACCTCCCGGTACCACACTGCTTCCCCCTAATTGTACAGTTTTCTAATGGTTTTTGATTCTTTCAAATTTAGTACACAAAATGACTAAAGGTAGTCTGTTTATTTATATCATCATTGGTAGAAAATTATGTTAAAAAGTGTGGATTCCATAAATTGATCAGTTATCATGCATAATAATGCCTAAAGTATAATACATTGAAAATAATCCTCTTGGCAGTTTGATGAGTGAAGTGAATTAGCCATTTCATTTGTTGCTGTTTTGAATATTATTTATTCTGATAGTATTTATTACAAATACATTTTAAAATTAAATATGCTTGTTGATAAAATGTTTCAAATAGTGAGTGACTAACTTAGTTCTTTATTTATTTCTAAGTATTCTATGGCATTGCCATATTTTGCCTGGTTGCCTTAGTGAGGGCCTCGATAACTGATCCAGGAAGACTGCCTGAGAACCCTAAGATCCCCCATGGAGGTATGGTATTCTTTGGATTTCTCAGCCCTGATGATGCCAGAACTACTCACTAATGCATTTTATTGCCTTTAATGTAGCCTGGTTACATTCATCTATATCATTCAGCAGTCACTTCCAAGTCTTTGCTCTCAGGTTTCCTTTCAGACTTTATTTAAAATTGTAACCTATTACATCTCTGCCCTTCTTTCTGGTTATTTGTCTCCTTCCATTATAAACTTGTGTTAAGTTCTGTAAGGATACAGACTTTTCATTAATTTCCCCTTGTTTTGCTCAGTGCTGTATTTTGATGTCCAGAAAAGTTCCTGTCATTTAAATTCTCAGTGAGCAATTGTATTCTGTTTAATAATGAAATTCTTTGTGATGCAGCTTATCTCATGATATTTTAAGTATAATATAGTGTTCAGTAAACATTTGTAGTTATGGATCTTATTGCCTGTATTTCTGCAAGTTCAAATAATTCAATGAGAGGCTTGAACACTTTTTGTTCTAGTGTTAACTGAAAGTGACTTTTGGTTATCCTGTTGCATAACCATTCAAACCACAGTAATATATTAGGGCATGTCTCCCTGGTGATCTAGTGGCTAGGATTTGGTACTTGTACCACAGTAATATATTCCTTGTTTCATTATAGTACCAGATACAGTATAATCTTCTTTGTTTTTTTTTTTTCCTATCTGATTCTCAAAAGAGAGAGAGAAAGAGAGAGTTGTTTGAGAGAAAGAGAGAATGTAGAGAACTCCTATTGTTGGTTTGCTCTCAAAATGCAGCAGTTGGAGCCAGGATTTCAATTCTTTCATCCCACATGGAGAGCAGGAATCCAGTCACTTGGAACAGTACTGTGGCTGCTGCAGGATCTACACTGACAGGAATCTGGGGTCTTGGATATCTTCACTGCTTGAGAAAATGGCTGCCCTTGAGTCTCAGTTTAGGATTTCTTGCTATGTATATGGGCTGTAAGAACTTGTTGAACAATTTTTCTAATATAAAATTAGTATGTCCTGTGTTGAATTACAAAACCAGAAAACTTCTTATTTTAATATAGTGGCTTCTAAAATTGCTGCCTATTAGAATCACCTAAGGAGCCCTTAAACAACGATTTTAGAGTCCAGATCATGCCCCATATTAAAATCAGAATGTAGGAGCCAGCCAGCTTACTAATGAACCCAGGTGATTCCAGTGTGTGGCATCTTTTGGGAATCAATGCAGTAACTTCTAGCGAAGTTAATTGGCAAGTTGCTTCCAAAGCCTCCTATAGGTCCTGAAGACTGCTTTTTGAGACTCATCATTTAGGAGCTTAACTTTCCCCTGGAAAATTCAGAGATCAAGTGGAAATATAACACTGTTGATGTAGGTATAGTAGTTGCTGAACCCTGTGACATATAGTTTTATTAACTTGTGGAGACCATAGCAATGTGTATATGTTTGTATATTGGTGAGGGGACTGGGAAATTGTTACTTTGCCTTCTGTTTCGAATCCCTTTTCCCAGCTAGCTTGACCAAAAAGTAATAAAATACTGCCTCATTGAATTACCCGTTTCAACTGTAAAATCTAGTAGCCCCAAAACGTCAAAGCAGCAGGCTCTTCTGACTTAGGGCCCAGTTCTGAGTTGGTTCATCGTACTCAAATTTGTCTGCAAATGCCAATGCCAGGACCTGGCAGTTGGCAAAAGGGGCCGACAGGAGCTCTTTCCTACTGGAAATCCCACAGTGAACCTAAATACAGTAGTCTCTGCTCAGCCACAGAGGAATTGTTCTGTCATTTGAATGTTGGATCTTAAAGGTTTTTGAAGAAAATAATGGAAAGTTCCAATTTTTATGAGGAATTTCATGATTTTTAAGTTCAAGCAACTTCTTTCTTACGCAGTTGAAAAACACATGTGCTTCTACTCATCTTGTTACTTATGAGACGGGTAGGTACAGTCAGGAGTGTGGGTTTGGCTTCTGTTCCTGTGGGACTGCTGTGCTGGAGCTGGGTCTTGTGCCTTTCTCTTTTTCCTATAGATCTATATACAGGTGAATGTTTTAACTCTTTATTCGCTTTTGGGGGAAAATTAAAGTCATCAAGTTTTTTCTTAATGTACTTTTACCCAATTCGTTTATAAATATAGTTTTAATTAAGTTAAAAATGCAATAAATCCATGAGCATTTGAAAGTTGAGGATTGAATCTTCAGAATACGAAATGTAAAGCTCTGGTACTTTTATGATGTTAACCACATTTTGATTAAATTACTTTGAGATATTTTGTACATATTTTTTAGTAGGACAATTAAAGCAGTTTGAATATAAGGAAATATTCAATTTTCCAGTAAGTGATCCTAAAAATTTAATTTTGTAAACTTTCTGGCATCTGGATTAAATAGCTAACTGAAATTATTACATGTCTATTTATATCATTTGAATAATTTGTACATATGCCTGCAATAATACATATGAAATAACACCTTGTCACTTTCGTATTTTATGAAATGACTTTATGAACTTCTGACTATCTAAGTCAAATTATTAAATGTAATTCACATACCATATAATTCACTTACTTAAAATATATAATCACGTAGCTTTTTCATATATTCACGGAGTTGTACAGCTATAGCCATTGTCAGCTGCAGAATATTTTCATCATGAAACTCTTGCTTCAATGCTTTGGTGATGACTAGAATCACGATAACTTGTTTGCATTTTTTATTTGAATGGTAAAGAGGAGGAGAGAGAAGGAAAAATACATGATAAGCAACTTGGAAGTGTCTGTTGGCTCCCATTTCTCAGGTGACTCCTCAGATGTCTGCAGTGGCCCCATGCCAGAAGCCGAAACTCAGAGCGTGGAACTCACGCAAGATTTCCGACATGGGTGGCAGAGACCTAAGGAGTTTGGTTATCACTGCAGCCTCCCAGGGCCTACTAGAATGAGGAGCAGAGCCAGGAATTGAACATAGCCAGGAATTTGATACAAGATGCTGGCTTCCCAGCTGGTGTCTTTAGTTCCTTGGCCAGTTGTCCACCATATGATTGCTCCTTTTCTGAGTCATAAACAGAACCAAATTAACCTTTTTTTTTTTTAAAGATTTATTTTTATTATTTTTTTATTGGAAAGGCGGATATACAGAGAGGAGATACAGAGAGGAAGATCTTCCATCCGATGATTCACTCCCCAAGTGAGCGCAACGGCCGATACTATGCCGATCTGAAGCCAGGAGCCTCTTCCGGGTCTCCCACGCGGGTGCAGGGTCCCAAAGCTTTGGGCCATCCTCGACTGCTTTCCCGGGCCACAGGCAGGGAGCTGGAAGGGAAGCGGGGCTGCCGGGATTAGAACCGGTGCCCATGTGGGATCCCGGGCATTCAAGGCGAGGACTTAACCACTTGCGCCACGGTGCTGGGCCCTAACCTTTTTTTTTAATGTTCATTCAGACATTGATAACTTTAGTAAAGACACAGATTAAACAGTGTGATGCTTTTTTCCCACATAGCCTCAATCATGTACTGTTTGTCTTTTTTTCTTTGTTTTATGTTTTGATTTTTTTTTTCTGTTAGAAAGCCGATTTGTGGTAGATTTTCATTTTTTTATAGCTACCTTAAATTATCAGTTGAATTTTCTCTCCTGTATGCTTTTACTTTGTATTATTAGACATGTAATGTGAAAGTCTTAGAAGCAGTCATGTCACATTACATTCATCACCAAGATCCTGCTGGACCTGGGTAAAGCCGGAGAACAAGAGGAAAAGACCGAGGATTCACAGATTTGCAGGGTTGGCAGACCCATTCCAGATGAAACTTTCTAGAATTTTACTATAGTGATATCTTCTTGGTCTTTGAACACAAAAGAATGTATATTCTTGTGCATGTGTGTGAAACTGAGCTTTTACAGGTATTTTTCAATTTCAGATTCTTCTGTAGTTTTTGATATATCCAAAGGAATAGTTGAAACTCTTTCTTTAAACAAGTTTAGGATTCAAACCACATATTGACAAACTCCTCTACTGTAAAATGCTGGAAGTAAAAGCTTCAGTACTATGGACCTGTATCATAATCCCTGTCACAAGTTTTTGGTTCTGCCACTCTAGCACAAAAGCAGTCATATGCAATATTTAAATACGCGGGCTTTGAAAGTAAAATTTTGTTGACACAGAAATTTGAATTTCATATGATTTTTGTTTGTCACAAATTATTATTTATTTTATCTAATTAATTAAAACTAGGAATCATTCTTTGCTCCTGGGTCATAAAAAAGCAGATAGTGGACAGGATCTGCCTGCGCACTGGTCTGTGATATCCACCGTAGAATTCTCGGTTTTCTCTCACTGTAGCACTGTTCTTTTTTTAGGCATATTTACTTATTTAAAAGACGGAGCTGGAGAAAAAGAGGCAGAAACCAAAAGGGAAAGAGAGGGGGAGGGAGAAAGAGGGAGAAAGTGCTCTTCTTTCCCCTGGTTCTCTTTACAGATAGCCACAGTCCTAGGGTGGGCCATGCTGAAATCATGATGTAGGAACTTCATCTGGCCCTCCCACGTGAGTTACAGGGACCCAAATACTTGGGCCATCTGCTGCTGCTTTCCCAGGCTCCCACCAGGGAGCTGGGTCAGAAGTAGAGCAGCTGAGTTGGAAACTGGCACTCAGTGTGTGATGTTAGCATCACAGGAAGTAGCTTTAGCAGCTATGCCAGAGTGCTAGCCCCAGTTCTTTTGTTTTTTTCTTTTTTCATTGAAGGACATTTTACAGAGAGAAGGGGAGATGGAGAGAAAGATCCTCCATCTGCTGGTTCACTTCCCAAATGGCTGCAATGGTCAGAGCTAAGCAGATTGGAAGCTAGAATTTTTTTTTTTGTCTTTTTGACTAGAAAAATCTAATGTGTGATTCCATTCTCTTCTGGTCTGTAGAGTTTCCTCTGAGTGGTCAGAGCCTGATTGGAGTTCCTCTGTATGTTAATTGTTTTTTCATATGCATATATAAGGATCCTTTCTTTATGTTCAACTGACGAGAGAGCTTGATTATCATGTTTTGTGGTAAAGATCACACTTGGTCAACCCTATTAGGAGTTCTGTATCCCTCCTGTATGTTGTTTCCCAATTCTTTCTCTATATTAGCGAATTTTGTTTATTATTATTTCATTGAATACATCTTTCAATCCAGCATCTCTTTCTGGGCCTTCTGGAATTCCCGCAATTCTTAAATAGTGTATTAATTCTTGAATATTTTTTTTTAGCTTGACTCAGTTCCACTTTTAGCTTTTTGATTGTGTCATAAGTGTGGCAAGAAATATCTTCCAATTCTGCTATTCTCCTTCCTCGCCAATTGTTATTGAGGCTTTCCACTGAATTTTTAATTTGCTCCATCTTGTCCTTCATAATAATTTGGCTTGATTTTGTTTGTGTTGCGATTTCCTGTAGGACAAATTCCTTAAATTCCTTGAACTCCTATATGTGCTTCTTATTGATATTATGGAGCTCTGTAACATGTTTTTAAAATTATTTGTCCCCCATGTCCTTGATGTATTCCAGAGGTAACTCTGAGGTTGACAAAGGCTTTTGCTCCTTTGTTGCGGGGGCATCAGTAATATTTATTGTGCCTCTGTCTTTCCTTTTGCTCTTGCCAATTGCAATTCTGGCTGGCAGATTCTTCTTTTTAGGGCTGGCTTCTAAGCTGTGTTGCCCACTATTCTACGGGTTGATTTTACTGGTTGCATTTAGCAACTGGTTCTTTGTTTGCAGTTGCTTGTGCCACTACCTCTAGCACTTTTCATTCCTGGGCTCTTGTGCTAGGCTTTCACCAAGGTCTCCATAGTCCCAGCTCCTGGCTCACTACTTTCAACCCTCTGTGATCCTGTGCTGTGGGTGCACCATTGCCTGCACAGCCTTTCTCCCACTCCCAGTCTGAGCAGTGCCCAGGATTAGGGAGAACCAGCTGTCCTAAATCACTGGGTTTTTGGCAGTGCTGGTCTTGCCAGAACCTGCTGGCATTAGGTCTGAAGGGCACTGGACCTATTTTAGGAGGAACCTGTATGATGCCACAATGTTACTGTATTTCCTGTGGGATTAGTATAATGTGTTGAGCCAGAAGCAAAAAAATAAAAAATAAATAAATTTATTTGTGTAAGATCTTGCTTACTACATCTCCACATACATGCTTTTTCCAGAACTTTACTTCCTGGCATCAAGACCAAATTATTGAGAAATATATTTTGATAGAAAAACAATCATCTTGTCTTTGAAGATTTGTCTCCCATAGCCTTTTTGAACCTGATGAGAACAATTTATAATGAAAAAAAAGCCTTTTCACTTATGCTGATTTTATAATTTTAGCATATAACTTAAGTGTTCATTCTATCAGCTAGCTAAAGGAAAATTGTTCCTTGGTGGTAGAATGGAGTTTTATATGGAATTCAGTTTGATTTTTTTCAAGAGTTATTTATTTATTTGAAATGGAGGCTTACAGAGAGGGGGAGGGCGGGAGGGAGGAGAGGAGAGAGCAGGAGAGGAGAAATGGAGAACTAGCCATCTGCTGGCTCACTCCCCATGGCTGCTTTGGCAGGAGTTGGGCTAAACCTAAGCCAAGCGGACTACATCTGGGTCTCCTAAGTGGCTGGCAGGGGACTAACTGTGTGCCACCTTTCTTCTCAGAGGCATTAGCAAGGAGCTAGATCAGAGGTGGAGCAGCTGGGACTCAAATCAGTGCTCATATGGGATGCCAGCATTATAGGCACTGGGTTAATTCTGCTGTGCAATAACACTTTCCCAAGAATTTCTTTCTATCTGTTAAATAGTAATCTTGTAAGCATCTTCACTATTGAAACTATTCTAATATCTCTTGTACTGATCTGAGATTCTCGTTAGACCTACTCCCATACATATCCTGAAATAAATTACAGATTTAAAAGGAAAAAGAAAAAGTTTGGGGGAGAGGAAGAAGAGGAGTGCCTTTTGTTTTCCCAATGTGTTTATAGGATTGGTTTCTACTTACTAATTGAAACAAAGATTCAGCATTATTTCTACAGAGCTTTTAGGAAACAAGATTTGTAGAAGTTAATATGTTTCCATAAAATCATGCTATACTGTAATAAATTGGTTAAACTTTAAGGTTCTGTCACTGGATTTAGATTCCAGCAGTGTCTACAGCTGAATGCATTGTTTGCTGTCTCTTATTGGAGTATCATGATAGTGTCTTGTTTTTATAGTGATCATGATTAGAAACACAAAAAGTAAAACTAAGAACAGCAATTCTGGAGGAGTAGAAGAAGAAAAATATCTTTCAGAGATATATGTTGAAGACTTTTAATAAAATCTGAACACTTATTAAAATTTTTCGGCAGTATTTATTTGCCTGCAGTAAGTGGATTTTAATTTCTTTTTTAGAAAGAGAGTTCTGGGAATTGTGTAACAAGTGTAATTTGATGAGACCAAAGCGTTCCCATCACTGCAGTCGCTGTGGCCACTGTGTAAGGAGAATGGATCATCACTGTCCATGGTAAGAAAAGACTAACATGCTTTTACCTAAGAAAGAACAGAAACCTAGTTTAAAAAAATTCTCCTAGACCTTAACATCTTAAACAAGTGATATTGAAGTTGCACAGTTCATAAAAGTATTTTAATGAGGATGTAGTTAATTGATCATGTGGTTGTGCCAGTTCCTAGAGTCCATTTCCACAGAGATCCTATGTTGACAACGTATAATATAAGGAGGTGTTTGAGCAAAGAACTAAGAATTAACATGCATCCAGATAGTCAGGAGGACCAAAGTACTGGTGCTCAGTGAGGCAATGGATGGAAACAGTTTGTTTTAGTATATGACACGTAGGAAGCATTGAAATAGAAGCTGTTATTTATAAAGTAATAACCCATATACTCCCCACTGTTTTATTTCTACGTCTGTTTGTATAATAAAGTGTAACACATTTCAAATACTTTTATGATTCTCCTCTCCTCACATTCACACACCAGTTAGGACATTTTATCTGTTATATATTGGAGATAGGTATTAATGGTGTATTCATGTTGGATGTGTGTAAGTGGTAATTAACTGATCTACTGAACTACTAACATTTTTGGTCAATAGGGGGCTCTCTTGTAATATTTAAAGTAAATGTTAAGTTGGAAAAAATTTTTGAAAACAAATGCTGTGAGAATTCTGTATTGTATCTCATTTCAAAGCTGTCACAAAAATCTGTGAACAAGACATTGTATTTAATTTTGTTTTCCAAGCATGGGATCTCTGTATAAATATTTAAACTGGTATAGTGTAGCACTCCATAAATATATCTGTATACATATATATTTATGTTTGTACACACATGTGTGCATATATAAAAAGTTTAACTGCATAACAAGCTTCTTGAATTACATTTATCTGAAGACTCAAGAGTAAAGTCTCAGCTAATAATGGTAATCAACTTATAATAACTCACTTGATTTCATGGTTTATTCAACTAGAATGCAATTTACCAAGATTAGGGAAAATGAGAGTATTATAGCTAAAGGTGTAGTTTTTGTGTGTAAGAATTAAATTGCTCTAAGTTCATCAACAAGGTTTAATGTATGGCATATAGTTGGTGTTCAGAAAGTGTGCATTGAATTTAAGCAGATTAATCCCCAAGTAATTTTCTAAATCTCAATATTATTTGCAATTACATTAGTAATAAAGTAAGAAAAGCTAGGTGAAACATATTTCAAGATAAATGCCTGTCACACTAAAAAGATCAATTTTTAAAATTCTTTTTATGTTAGTATTTCTGATTAAAAATATAGTATTTCTAGTACAGTTTGATATTAGTGCTTCACTTCCAGGGAATGCAATAGTTGAAAAATTACCAACTATGAAATGTTGTAGAGATTAGTGATATTCGTTGGTGAATGGTTAAGACTGGCTTGTGTGTGGCCACATAAAGTGCAGTTTAACCTGACTCGTAATTTTGGAATGATACCTCCATTTCCAGGCCTGTTTTTCAATTTTGGCCAACCTCACAATATTTACAAATATTGATTGGATGGTGGGGTAAATGGAAAGGATGGCAGACCAGGGACCTCTCGGTGATTGGTTTTCCTAGGGGAGTGCTGCTGAGGTGTTCAGAGTGAGGGAAATGTGCAGTGAAGATCAGAGGCAAAGAGAATTTTTGATGTCTTCAGATACCGTGATATTTTAATTATGTAACGGCTTTAAATTTCAGTCTCTTCTGTATTTCTGACTGTTCTTTTTTTTTTTTTTTAAAGCAGTTTCAATGTTACCAGAAGAATACTATACTTGCCTATATTTTGAGTACCTTAGTGCTTCTTGACATTCTCTGGCTAGGAAGGATGCTGTAATCACAGTAGTTGTTTCTCAGATTTCTCCATTCTGAGAAGGAGAAAGCATCCTTTTTTAAGCAAAAGTTGTTAAGGAGCATCTTGCATGCACATGTAAACACCCTTCTTGCAGCACTGCTTACAGATAACAAAATAATGAATTGTGTTCTTTACAAAGCATGCTGTCTGAGAATTATATGTGCAAGGTTTTACAGGTTAGTTCTATATTTGATCTAAAAAAATAGGTAGTGACACATATTAGCCACATTTAAGATAAAAATTGAAACTGTGGATTTTTGAATGACAGCATAATGTTATATTGAACTGAACATTTATGCCAGTCAATTTCTAGTTTTGAACTTTCTGCTGGACTATGGGAGTATTTTGAAAATTTAGAAGGAACATAAAATACTTAGCTTCAATTAGCCTTGAAAATTTTAGGGTAGTAATAATTGTTTGACCTAGTTAGGACTCACTGTTGTATTGGAGAAAGTATAGCTTTAGATATTTGTAAAATAGTTTTAATTACATTTTTAATTTTAGAAACCAAAGGTAGATTTTTGAAATGAGAAAAATTACGAGTGCCTAGTAGGTATGTCAAGTAGCAAGCTTAAACTATTTTATTTCAAAGTATTCAAATTGCTGAAAACAGCTAGAATGCTGGAACAGAAGCACAACTTACAGAACAATGTTCTTACTCTACTCTGTTTGGCTCCTGGCTCTTCTAGCTGTTGATTCTCAGGCAAGTGTGTTAACTTCTTTTGTTCCTCCTTCCTTATCAGTGAAACAAGGAGGCTGCCATCTGTTCTCCCCTCTCAGGGGTCCCATCCACGTATATCCTTTTTAAAGTAGAAAGTGCCTTACAAATACAAGGTGGCATATTTATCTTTTCTCTGTACAGTCAGCTTCCTGGTTGAGAAGCTTTAGTGTATTTCTATGTAACTTACTTGTCTTTGTTAGGATGTTAATGTTTCTTTTTTAGTCTTGCTAATCCTGTAATGAACATCTTGGCAAGTTTAAAATATTGTTTGTTTTTCATTTTTTCTTAGGATTAACAATTGTGTTGGTGAAGATAACCATTGGCTTTTTCTGCAGCTGTGTTTCTACACCGAGATTCTTACTTGCTACGCACTGATGTTTTCTTTCTGCCACTACTACTATTTTCTTCCACTTAAAAAGCGTAATTTGGTAAGGATTGTTTATATCCACTAATGTTAGAGCAGCCATAGTATGTAGTTATTAATATGTGGCTCCTGTAAGTGCAGAAGATTTAAAACAACAAAGAGCTAGGATAAACTTTCAACTGGTAAGTTTTAGAATATATTGGAATTAAGCAAGTGGATCCTATCCTGACATACCCTTGTAGACAGATCCACTCATGATCATTGATGCTGTGTGGGACTCTTCAGAAATATTTGTGTTTTAGTAACAATATATTTGTATTCCGTAATAACATATAGAATGCAATGATGAGAAACAGTGGGAAAGAGTAACTTTTTCTTTTTTTCAAAAATAACATGGAATTCGTTTTCTTGTTAAATTAGATGTTCTCAAAGGAAAAGATTCTTGAAAAAAAATTTGTTACATGTATGATTTATTACATATATACTTCATAAAGCTTGTGGAAAATAGAATTGAAAGGTACATTCATCTTTCTACGTTTCAAAAGATAAAAGAGTGAAGAAGTAGGGCATTTGGCACAGCAGTTAATACGAGGTCTGCATTGGCCACGTAGTGCTCAGGGTGGTAGGGTCAACAGCTGCCTGTTGCTGCTGCTTTCAGCCTCTTGCTAAGGCAGCCCCAGGGAGGCCGTGCTAGTGTGGATGACCTGGATTGAGACCCGCATCCTGGCTTTGGCCCACTGGCCGTGGCAAACGTTTGGGGAGTAAACCAGCAAATGGGAGATTTTGCATCTGTCTCACTTGCATCTCAAAAAAAATTTTTTTTTGAATATGTTTGTTTTTGTGAAACAGTCTTTGAAATCCATACATCCATACGCACAAGAACCCAAAAAGTTAATGCTTTGGAGAAATTGCGCATGAGTTTCCATTTTAACACCAAAACTTCCATTTTACTTTTTCCACAAACTTTTCAGGTACCCGAATGTGCTCACGCACAGGTGACGTTTCAGGCAGTGCTTTCCCCATTTGGTAGAGGAGCTACAGTAAATGTTAACACTTGCCCACACTGCCATGTCGTGCTGGGGGTGATGACAGCAGAAGATTAACTTCTTATATTCCTTGACGCTGTTAAAACAATGCTGAGTCTCTCATTTTAATTTTCACCTCGATGTGTGCCGCAGTCATGTGAGGTAGATATTCCCCCCATTTTTCTAGATGAAGAAATAGTGTATAGGAGTAGTTAAATAATGAACCGAAGGCACAAAGGTTGGAAATAATTATTCAGCTTGTTTTAATTGGAGAGCTGGTGTTGAACCTGACCTGTGTCTTTCTTGCTTATTAGTCTTCCCATTTTATTTGGACTTGAATTACATGTTTTCTAGATGCCTTGCGTGCATTTTTGAGAGACAGAGTGAGAGAAAGGAAGAAAGAGAGGATGCAAGGGAAGGAGAGAGTGAAGAAAAGTACAGAACTGGTGAAGGGAATAGTTCTTTACTGTTTATACCAGGTGAAACCGTTTAAATCTTTTACTTGAAGAAAATAGCATGTTCAATTATGGTAATGTATTTTGGAATGAGAGGAAGAGTGAGAGCAAGTATTTAAGCTGTGTGCATTTTATGTCTCCTTAGTATAAAATGACATTTTCCCCCAAGAGATACAGAGAATGAGGGACACACACATTGACACATGGCTGCCATCCACTGATTTTAATCCCCAAATGCCAGCCAGGACTGGGCTTGTCTGAAGTCGAGAGACTGGAACACAATGTAGATCTCCCACTGGAAGAAGAGCTGCTTGAGGGACTCAGCTACTTGAGCCATCACCTGCCACCTGGGATGTGTGTTGGCAGGGAGCTGAAATCAGAGCTGGAGCTGTGGGAGCCCAAACCAGGCACTACCAGTGTGACACATGCCTTTTAGTGGATGTCTCAGCTGCCAGGCAAATGTCTGCTCGTGATCATTTTGAATAATTGAAAGGAAGTATTTGCAGTTGTTGCCTGACTGTATATGTTAGAAGGACTTTGTGGTTATGGGGTTTTATGGTGATTTTGCTTATTAAATATAACTTGAGCAATTAAAATGATATACTAATATCAGGAAAGGTTCATAAGGGAGAATTTTAAACCTAGGTATGTAAGCAAAACTTCACAGTGAAATTGTAGGAATACCATATTTTTAGGAGTGTCTCATCTTATGTACAGACTAATTTGTGATATGATTGCTATTATAGTTAGAAATCATAACCATAAGTAACCTACCCTGATTGGCTCTCATGAGAACAGTGCTAAAGTGGCTGGGTAGAATTATTGTCATACTTTTAAAAAAATTTATTAATTTTTATTGGAAAGGCAGATATACAGAGAGGAGAGACAGAAAGGAAGATCTTCCAGCAGCAATAGCTGGAGCTGCGCCAGTGTGAAGCCAGGAGCCTGGAGCTTCGTCTGGGTCTCCCACACAGGTGCAGGGTCCCAAGGCTTTGGGCCATCCTCAGCTGCTTTCCCAGGCCACAAGCAGGGAGCTGGAAGGGAAGTGGACCGCTGGGATAGGAACCAGCACATGTATGGGATCCCAGTGTGTGCAAAGTGAGGACTTTACCCGCTAGACTATTGCACCGGGCCCTATGGTCATACCTTTATTAAAAAGTGAGAGGGAAACTTTAGGGGTGTTAATGATCTAGAAGCTGTATAGCAAGGCACACACTGAGCTATAGCACAGAGATTGGCAGACGATGAATCTTGGATTAAACTCAACCCTCTGCCTGTTTTTGCAGATGAGGTTTTACTGGAAAGCAGCTGTCGTCTTCTGTTTTCTCTTTGCTTTTGTGCTGCAATAGCAGAGTAGCAGAGACGGACTGTTCAGCCTGCAAAGCGCAAGGCATTAACTGTCTGGCTTCTCACATTCAGTTTGCCATTCCTGAAAGTAGAAAAATCTTGGCCTTTCTGTAAGCAGACACTTGTAGAATAGGGAGGCTCAAAGCCTGCCAATGCTAATTACAGTTGTAACCTTTGAAACGTTGTTTCACCTCTCTGGGTTATAATTTCTTTTTTTAAAGTGAGTAATAATGAGATTAAATGAGATAATATTTGTAAAAGTTCATGGCATATAATAGATATTCCATTTATATTTCATTTGAGGTTAGTGAAAACTCTAGTAAAGAACAGTTTCTCTTTGGGCTGTTACATTTTATAAATCTTTACAGACTGTTTAGCAGTATTGCTGGGAGACTGATGACACAGAAAGGTAAAATCATCAAATGAGGATGTGATGCTCATAAACTAACACTAATACTTAACCAGAAGGTCAGGAAATTTGGAATTATGAACCAGTTTGTCTCTTAAAAATTAATGCCAATTAAGGGGAAGAGTCACTTTTTTTAAAATGGAGAAATGGAAAATTTGATTATGGGTGATGTGTAAATATGAGAGTACTTCAAATTGGAAATTGAAAATAAAAGTAAGTTTATTTTTATATCAAAATTTGAAATACATACTTATGGGGAATTTTCAAAAAGTTCATGAAAAAATAAACTTTTAAAAAGGTCTGAAAGAATTGTAAGTCACTCTTCACTTACACGTTAATACTTGAAGACTAAGACATTTTACGTATGAGTGTATATTAACCACACACACTGAGTGTTGACAGCTACCAGTAGCACAAAAGTTTACTGAGAAATCAGAAATACTAAAGAAATACATAGAAAGTTAGTACAGAGTGGGTTTTGAAAACTCAGACCAGATTTTCCTTACACTAACCATGTCTGTAAGCAACATAAGTCATTGGATGTGTTAGCAGTATTGTCGATTAAAAAAAAAATCAGAATTGATTGAATCACAGTTGATTGAAATAAGGCAGCAATTGGCTATCTTTTCAGAGGGTTCTATATCAAGGACTGCCCCAGCTGATTGGTGCCCGTGGGTGGCCATGGAGGCAGTCACCTGCAGATGATAAAGAACAAATTTGTTTTAGGAATAAGCAATTCATAATGAATAAATTATGAATAATTCTAGAGATAGGAGAGAATTAATTGTTCAATGGTACTGCATTAAAACTAATCTCAGCCTAAGTTTATGTAGTGTCCTTATTATCTTAAGTGGAATATTTTTATAGTTATCATATAGTATATGGTATTATCATGTTAGAGATAATGAAATATAAACTCTCAAAGTTTATTATATCATTTCCAAGATCATTTGCCCCTGTTGAGGAATCTAGGGCTTTTTAACTTTGTCATGATTAGCCTCTGAATGATGTGCTTTCATATCTGGACAATTTCACAAAGTTTATGGAAGATACATTATCTTTAATCCTGTTTTTCCATGAACATTTTTAAGAATTTGAAGCTATACATTATTGACACATTGTAGTTTCTTGGTAAATTGATTTATGTTGTTATTACTATAAAATGCACTTATTTACGAGTAGTTATGATTGTTCTCTTAAAATGGTTCCCCCCCATTGTTAGCTTAGATATTTCAGCTTTCTTTTTGTTAATGTTTTTTGTGATAAATCTTGAAAAAAATTTTTTTAACTTTCAGTCTTTCTTAGTTCCAGTGTATCATAATTGTATTGTAAATAGCAGATGGTTCTTTAAAGAAAAAAAGAACTAGTCTAATGAACATTTTTCTTAATTGGAATAGTCAATTTTTATTTACTGGAATTAGTACTAATTCTGTCATCTTTCTCTTTATTTCCTTAGTCTGATATGAATGTTAATTTTTTCCCTTTTAATATTTGTCAGCTCTGTTTAACAAATTTTAGAAAGTCCCAATGATTCATCTTTTCTCCAGATATGATTTACTCTTTTTTTGGACATAATGTATGAGAAGATTTATCTTAATCTAGTCATGTTTGTATAGCCAGTTTTTAAAAATATTTATTTATTTATTTATTTTAAATGCAAGGGCAGATTTCCAGAGAGAATGATAGAAAGATCTTCAGTCCTCTGGTTCACTTCCCATGGCTGCAATGGCTGGAGCTGAGCCAATCTGAATCCAGGAGCCAAGAGCTTCCTCTTGGTCTCCCACATGGGTGCAGGATTCCAAAAGTTTGGGCCCTCCTTTACTGCTTT